GCTCTGCTCCTCCTCCTCCTCCTCCTCTTCTTCTTCTTCTTCTTCTTCTTCTTCTTCTTCTTCTTCTTCTTCTTCTTCTTCTTCTTCTTCTTCTTCTTCTTCTTCTTCTTCTTCTTCTTCTTCTGTGTTCTGCCATTAAGCTGTGGTTCCTCACAGAATAGATGAATCCTAATTTGCCTCGTGCCCACCCTGCTTTACCCTCCAACAGGGCTAGCTTTCCTCTCAGCCGCTGTGTATCTTTGAATGTGCTGATCAAATAATTTTTCTGAAGTCCTCCAGCATCGAGGGGATAAGGGAAGTTTGCTCACCCACCATTCTGGTTTTGATTTGTAAGACACTGTCTTTGATTTCAGGAAGCTGGACGCGTTCATCTACGATGCGGCGGTGCTGAACTACAAGGCCGGGCGGGACGAAGGATGTAAGCTGGTGACGATTGGCAGCGGGTACATCTTCGCCACCACTGGCTACGGCATCGCTCTGCAGAAAGGGTCGCCGTGGAAGAGGCCAATCGACCTGGCCCTCCTGCAGTTCGTGGGAGATGGTAAGCCTTCCTTTCTCTTGGCAGTCTTGGGTCATTTGTGAAACGACATGTCATTTCGGTAAGTTAACAATCAGCAATTACATAGTAAACATGATAAGACCAAAAAATCTGTGCAAAAGGACGCTAAGAATTTTATTTTATTTAAAGCCCTACATGGCCAGGGTCCAGCATACCTAAGGGACTGCCTTGCCCCACATAGACCCCAGAGAGCACTTCGGTCGGGGTCGCTACACCGTCTCGCGATCCCGGGCCCGAAAGAGGCCAGGCTTGTGGCCACTAGGGCTAGGTCCTTTTCGGTGGCGGCTCCTATCTGGTGGAATGAGCTCCCAGAGGAGATCAGGGCCCTGCGGGACCTGCTGCAGTTCCGCAGGGCCTGCAAGACGGAGCTCTTCCGCCAGGCTTTCGGATAGGAGCCGCCACCGCCACCACTACCACCAATGGGGCCTGTTACAGCGCCACCGGAAGCCAATGTGGCATTAACATCAGGAGGCCACAGTAACCTCCCCTGGGGTTGTGCAATAGGGAGAGAGGGTTTGAGTCACGTGGGATCCTTGGGCGTGGCCCATTTATTAAGTGTTTTAAATTGTTTTATTGTTGTTTTATCACACTACGTACCTATTGTTGTAAGCCGCCCTGGGCCCGCAATGCGGGGAGGGCGGGGTATAAATAAAATAAAATAAAGAATAAAACAGAATAATAAAACAATTTACTAATGAGTGGCTCAAGTGGTTAAGATGCTGAACTGCAGGCTGTGGAAGGTCAGTAGTTCAGCAGTTCGAGACCCGGGTGTGCCGCATGACGGAGTGAGCTCCCATCTCTAGTTCCAGCTCCTGCCAACCTTGCAGTTCGAAAGCAAGAAATTGCAAGGAGATAAATAGGTACCACTTTGGTGGGAAGGTAACAGTGTTTTGTGCGCCTTGGTGTTTAGTCATGCCGGCCACATGACCACGGAAACGTCTTCGGACAGTGCTGGCTCTTCGGCTTTGAAACAGAGATGAGCACCGCAACCCTAGAGTCGGACTCGACTGGCTTTCGAGCAAGGGAACCTTTACCTTTACCTAACAACAATATAACTGGTAGTAATTCAACTAGGAATACTACGTATGTAGTATTTACAAAAATCCAACAGGTAAATCCACAATTTTATCAATAATCCAACAGGTTTTCAACAATCCAACAGGAAAGTCTACAATTTTTTGATAATGCAACAGGTAAGTCTACAATGAACCTAGTAGTAATTCAACCAGCAACATAAGACTTTGGAGATTTCCCCCTATGAATATTGACTGGCTGCCCTATCGATATTTTTCATTACAATTTGGAAAGCTGTTTTGCTGAGGTTTACCTTCTAAGCATTTGATGAGTGCTTAAAGAGTTCTAAGCATTTGATGAGTGCTTAAAGAGTTCTACTGAGGAAGACTTTTCGAAACGAAGTTCTGAAATCCAGAGTCTTCGTCATCCATTGTAGATTTACCTATTGGATTAATAATATTGCAGATTTACCTGTTGGATTGTTGAAAATTTACCTGTAAAAATAGTGGACTCACCTGTGGGATTTTTGTAAACACTGCATATGTAGTATTCTTAGTTGAATTACTACTAGGTTCATTGTAGACTTACCTGTTGTATTATCAAAAAATTGTAGACTTACCTGTTGGATTGTTGAAAACCTGTTGGATTATTGATAACCTGTTGGATTATTGATAAAATTGTGGATTTACCTGTTGGATTTTTGTAAATACTACATATGTAGTATTCCTAGTTGAATTACTACCAGTTATATTGTTGTTGCTCATTAGTAAATTGTTTTATTATTCTGTTCTATTCTTAGCGTCCTTTTGCACAGTTTTTTTTTTGTCTTATCATTTCTGTAAATTAGACTGAGAACGTCCGTGAAAGAAAGGATGCTCAAATTGCCCCATAGTGTTATTTGTGGTTATTATACCATATGCCATCAAAATGCCCATTATTATGACAAGCTGAGCAAGTGTTCAGAGAAGGTCTGTGAACTGGAAGGACCCTTAGTGGACAGGGTGTCTTTCCGTGCACCCTCGTGGACAGTTTTAAAACTGATTTAATTTACGTCGTTATGTTTGCCATTTGCTGTTTGTGTTGCGCAGGGGAATAACTAACAATATAAACAAAACAGCTGGAGCTCTCTTCCCTGCTGGGCGCCAATGAAGATTCTCTGATTTATTCCCTGTGCGGTATACGCTTAGATTCTCGGGAGCCGTTGTCAGCTGTTAGTTTTGTAGATCTGTTTGCCCCACCCCTTTCTGTGTGGGGTGCCCACCATTGATTCCTATAATCATAGAATGTTAGAATTGGAAGGGATCTTGCAGGTCATCTAGTCCAACCCCCTGCACTCTGCAGGAGCAGAGCCGAAAGATGAAGCACAGTGAAAAGATATGCATATCGTGTCCCATGCTGATTCACTATACCTCCCCAATAATTGAAGAATGGGTACATTTTAGGAAGTGTTTGGTGTGGAGCAGGGCTGTAGCTAGGATTTTTGACTTCCGGGGGCATTTAAATAAGTCGGGGGGGCACCCCTGCACACACACACACACACACCCAGGCTGTGTCAAGAGCGACAAGAGAGTAAAAGTTTTTTAAAAGTGACGAGAGAAAGGGCTTGGATTAAAGTATTTGTCTTTAAAGGTTTTAAAACCTTAGGGAGGATCTACTCTACTTGGGCTTATCCAGGCAGATACACATTACAGCCAATGGGATCAACTATAGGGAAAGAAAATGAAATGCCTGGGAATAACAAGTGATATGATTTAAAAATACAGAAACTAAGGACATTAGAAGACAAATTAAAAAATCTGTAAGGAAATTGGATGTTACAAGTACGTCTATCAGGGCGTGCAGGGTATGTTCGACACTCCATTTGGGAATCGCCCTCCCGATGCAACTGCCGAAATATTTTTATCGACTGACAGTCCCAAAACTAAGAAGAGCTTTTACTTTGGTGAGACTGAACGTTCTTCCCTCGGCGGTTTTGGAGGGCAGATATAATAAAGTATCATACTCTAATAGAACATGTTGTTGTTATTCAGTCGCACAGCCGAGTCCGACTCGTCGCGACCCCATGGACCACATCACGCCAGGCCCTCCTGTCTTCTGTTGTGCTCCATAGTTTGCTTAATTTCATGTTCATTGCATTGATAAATAGAACGTAGAACATGCAATAGAACATGCAGATGCTCATATCATACAATCGAAACCATCGAACCTATGATTATGGTGTGCCCTACATTCGATGAGTTGAGGGCTACTTTGGTTACCCCTTTACTTAAAGATCTGGAACTGCTAAATGTGCGAGCCCAGGTGTCACGGCTACTATCGGATACCAGTGATCGTGCCACCCTCTCCGTGGCAAAATCCATAGGCACAGTAATCAAATATTTATTTATTTTATTTATTTATTATGAGATTTGTAGCCCTCCCTCCCCGCGAGCGGGCTCAGGGGGGTTCACAAACTGGGCACGTATGCCAATGGTTAAAACAGTTAAAAATACAATAAAACAATCATTTATAGTCAATTTATAACAATCCAAGGTGCTCTGGATGTCTCAAAAAAGGTCTTCAGTCACAAGATGGCATCCTGATGGTGATGGTCCCAGGTCGGTGCTATCGGTTCCAGGCAGCGCTGTCGTTCATTGTCACAGGGCCATCTCACTCTCCGATGTTACCCAGCCTAGTTGGTGGTGGCGGTGCAGCGGTGGCGGCTCCTACACGAAAGCCTGGTGGAAAAGCTCTGTCTTACAGGCCCTGCGGAACTGCGCAAGGTCCCGCAGGGCCCGGATCTCCTCCGGGAGCTCCGGATCTCCCCCGGGAGCTCGTTCCACCAGGAAGGAGCTGCCATCGAAAAGGCCCTGGCCCTGGTTGCTGCAAATCTGGCATCTTTGGGGCCTGGAGTCACCAGGAGATGTTGCATCCCCGACTGGAGAAATAATACTGAGTGAGGTCTTTTAAAATATTTTCTTTGGTTCTGATTTCTGCTTAAGGTGATAGTTGTATGAGCAGTACTAGATAGATAGATGGATGGATGGATGGATGGATGGATGGATGGATGGATGGATGGATGGATGGATGGATGGATGGATGGATGGATGGATGGATGGATGGATGGATGGATGGATGGATGGATGGATGGATGGATGGATGGATGGATGGATGGATGGATGGATGGATGGATGGATGGATGGATGGATGGATGGATGGATGGATGGATGGATGGATGGATGGATGGATGGATGGATGGATGGATGGATGGATGGATGGATGGATGGATGGATGGATGGATGGATGGATGGATGGATGGATGGATGGATGGATGGATGGATGGATGGATGGATGGATGGATGGATGGATGGATGGATGGATGGATGGATGGATGGATGGATGGATGGATGGATGGATGGATGGATGGATGGATGGATGGATGGATGGATGGATGGATGGATGGATGGATGGATGGATGGATGGATGGATGGATGGATGGATGGATGGATGGATGGATGGATGGATGGATTAGATAGATAGATAGATAGATAGATAGATGATAGATAGGTAGGTAGGTAGGTAGGTAGGTAGATGGGTAGATGGGTAGATGGGTAGATAGATGGGTAGATAGATGGGAGAAAGAGTGATCAATAAATCGAAAGTATTATTATTATTATTATTATTATTATTATTATTATTGTTGTTGTTGTTGTTGTTGTTGTTGTTGTTGTTGTTGTTGTTGTTGTTGTTGTTGTTGTTGTTGTTGTTGTTGTTGTTGTTGTTGTTGTTGTTGTTGTTGTTGTTGTTGTTGTTGTTGTTGTTGTTGTTGTTGTTGTTATTATTATTATTATTGTTGTTGTTGTTGTTGTTGTTGTTGTTGTTGTTGTTGTTGTTGTTGTTGATAGAAGCGACGAGAGAAAGACAGGTGAGAGGCAGGGCAGGGCGACGGCTCGGCTTGGCGTCGCTGTAGCACAAGTGGGGAAAAAAAT